AATACCTTTGGATATTTTGTTTTACAAAATTCTTGAACTATTTGAAAATTATGCCACATGATTCACCTTTAAATACACTTTCATTAGTAAATTATATTTTCCTGGCCTCCTGATTGGATGTAGTGTTTTCTGTGTAACCTATTAGGATCTCAAGTTTTCAGACAGCAAATTGGAATTCCGATGGGCAGCAACTATTCCACTAATATGGCAAATCTCACCCTTTTTATCATAAATCAAAACATATTAATGAAACCCCCAACCCGGAAGCATACACTTTAACCTTCCGTTATATCGACGATCTAGTCGTGATTGAAAACAAATCAATTCAAGCAGAAACCGAGCATATTTGCCCATTGAATTAGGATACATTTAAAAAACGGTATGGAGCCCAAAGAGCCCAATCACTGGAGCCTGTTCTAATGCACCTGTTCTGTGTTGCAGTCACTTCCGTGCTGCAAGAGCCGCACATCCGAGCTGTATACAATATTTCTGGAGCCTAATGGAAGTAATTCACAGCCATTTTGCAGAGAAATCGCCTCCTTTTGGAGCAAATTTTAGTAGGTGATACTTGCATTGCTGAGCAAACAGGTTAAAAAGTTTCTGTAGAAAATTCTCAAGAAGTCTTTGGTACAGGAGATCACAGTTATACGAAATCCCGCCACATTGAATTTTTCGAAGGCATCGTCGTGGCCCCGTCTTCGGACCTGACCAGCTAAGAGAAGGAATTTTAATTATGTTCTTATGAACATTAAACATAATTAAAGCAGTGCTATCATTTGTCTTTCGAATTGTTCCTATGAGATGCACCTGTTGAGTGATTATGCCCAAGGGAGGAGACAGGCTCGAGGTGGGGGCACGGAAGTAATGTTGACCATGAGACAGCCTTAAAGAAAAGGAATTAGGTAAAAGAGGTGTGGATCGGAGATTAATGCGTGATAATCCGGATAAGAACAATGTTTCTGCTCTGTTGCATAACAAATAAAACTCGGACAAAAATCACAGTAATTTGCGAAATTGTTGAAATCCAGCATGGATGACTGAATAAAATGCTCATGTACCATAGTGTAAGTTGTTACGAAAGGGAGCTGAAGTATTCATTGTAAGCAGAAGCGGAGTGAATGGCCAATGGATGACCTAGGGGCAGATGACAACCCAGGATCCAAATCCGTATTGCAAGATGACAGCGGTATGCAACATTAGTCACGTGGGAGCATTGACGTTTTCCATATGAACTCAAGGCGGGAAAGGGACGAATGGGAATGACTCTCCAGTGTTGCCATTTATTCGATGTTCCGCTTTAAGGGAACGGCATCTATACAACCATTGTTCACTCATGTGTTTCAAAAGTGACACTGTTGATAGGAATTGTATGGAAAGCTTTCATAATGTTGGTAGATGAGTATGTTCAGATTTCATTTGTCTTGAAGGGCTCTAAAATTATACATATGTTGTGGCGTACCCCTTGTCTCATAACGTCATGTACGTTTAAAGGTGAAGCATGTACTTACAATACTGAGAACGATTGAAAAGAAGTCGTAGATTTGTACAGTGACCTTAAAAGTCTTAATCCTGCCGTGCCCCTAGAAGAGGGTTTGGCATGGGAGAAATGTAGGAGGTACCCATTACGAAATACCTTACTAGGCGGGTCGGACAAATGTGCTTGCAAGCATGTCCTGAAGAAAGGATTATAAAAGACTACGCCAGAGAGAAAAGGGGGGGTTGGCGGATGTTGTTGGTGGTTGTAGTTGTGTGTGGAGAGGAGAGGCATCGGATCGAGAGCTGAGAGTGAGTGCAGGACGTCGTCCAACTCCACGTTAATAGCCATTCAGGTATAGGTTATTCTGCATCCCTTACTCAGTAACTCTTGTACGCAATCAAGTTAAAATACGGCTACAAAATTCCATTTCTGATTCTTGTCAATATTGTTCTCATCCAATACTAGTTGTCAGCAACTAACAGTAATTGTCATAATAAATTTATATTACTACGCGGTGTCTATGAAGTCATTGTAACCTCGAACGCGCTGGCGATTTTATAGTGATAAATAGTAATATACGATCTGTTCAGAGCCACCTACAACTGGTCATGAACGAGATGATGCGTAGTACCAATTAAGATGCTCAATTCCTCTGCAACAACACCAAGATTCACCTTCTCTGCTGATGCCGTTAACGCGACAAGGATTGTCATCTGTGTATGAGTTGCTTGGTCGCTCAGGTCGCTGCTCATCTTCGACATTAGTACGGCTGTTTTTGAACGCATTACATCGCACATTCACTTGATGCCATGACATGGCATTGATGTTATACACTTCCACGAGCTGTTGATGGATTTCGGCCGGTATTGTGCCTTTTGCGTAAAGAAATGGAATGACACCACGCAACTCAATGTTTGTCCGCGTGCGTAGTAGGCCGGCCATTTCCACGGCGCTCTATGATGTCACTACCGACAAGTGGGAAGCTCTGGCGGTAGCTGCATGAATCAGATAATGCTCCCCTTTTGTGTAGTCCAAGGGTGGCCAAAATTGATGTTTTCTATGGTACGTTGCTTGCTGAATGCGGCTCGCAAGCCGCATTTTGGCCACCCCTGGTATCCTATACTTTAATTCGAAGAGGTAAAAAGTTGCAGTGGTGGTCGTGGCCGTGGCTGTCACCCCAACGCGCAGGCCTACAATGCAATCCCCTTCTTGATCATAGGCAAAGCCATCCACGGCCTAAAGCGCCAGGCCGACAAGGCTACGCCATTCAAGGCCATCATCTTCTACTTTAATTCGAAGAGCCCGAGAGTTGTGGTAGTGGTGGTTGTCACCCCGGCGGGCGAGGCCTACAGCACAGTCACTTTAGGCCATTCACCTCTCCAAGCGCCAGGTCCTTCAGGCTATGTTACTCTAGGTCATAGGCTTGGCCATCCAACGCTTATAGCGCCCGGTCCATCGAGCTATATCAGTCTCAGCCATAGGTTTCATACTGTACTTAGCTGTGTCAATCGAAGCGTGGTAATAACTGAATGCGTGTCATGTTTCCATTGATCGACTGCAAGTTCTCCATCTGAATACATTCTTTGATCAAGTTGTTGAATACCACGATTCATGTTCATGGTGATAGGTCATGCTGAAAGGGATCCCACAGGACGGCGATGGGGCAGTCGCTACAGATAATAAACAATTGGTGCTGGCGCGGAAACAACGTTTGCCACTGCAGTTGCGGTGCGAAGTGCCTAAATCGATGCTTTAGGAGGTGCTAGCCATAATGGCTAGAATGACTGCTGAACAGTACCCAGTTGCACTTAGGGAGCGTAAGGTTGAATACCAAGAGGCTGCGAATGCTGAGCTCAGGAATAGGAAAGCCATGCACCCTGCTGGGCAACTTGATGCAAGGAACACAACACTCAGGTGTCGAAAGTCGGTGGGCAGCCGGAAATTTAACCCGGACCTCTCATTTGCCAGTCAGGTGTGCTACCACAGAACTCGGGACATTTTGTCAGGCCTCTCCATGTCACCTCAAATCACTACAGTCTTTAGCGCAGCGAGCACTGTCAGGCTGCACATTTTGCTATAGGGAGGGGACATTTGTTGCATAATGCTGCCACAACGGAAAAGTGTTTCTGCTGCAACTCACACTTAATGCTCACACTGTTCTTCACTGGTACTAATGTGGAGGCGAGGCATTTTCAGGAATTATTCGTTAGTATTCTGTTGCACATGCGCTAAATTCCCTCTGTGCTGAAGTCGAACAAATTCTTCGAAACGGCACGTACTGTTTCAGAATCAGTAGTACCTGTACCATAAGCTAATGCTAATAACCCATGAGCTAATCGGTGATGCAAGAGTTTTGAATGTGCTGGGAAGAAGTTGTGCTGGTGGCTGTCAAATCAACGCGCGAGGCCTACGAGACTAGATCATTTCAGGTCATGGGCTGCTCCATCCACCGCTCAAAGTGCCAGGTCCATTAGGCTATTCCATCCGTGGCCATGGACTAGACCATCCGCCACTCAAAGCGTCAGGTCTATGGAGCTATGCTATTCTAGGCCAAAGGCTTGGTCATCCAACACACTTAGCGCCAGGTCCATTGGGCTATGTNGCCGGGAATTGAACCCGGACCTCTTGCTTACCAGTCAGGTGTGCTAAAATAACACCACTGAACTCGGAACATTTTGTCAGGCCTCTCCATGTCATCTCAAATCACTACAGTCGTTTGCGCAGCAAGCTATGTCAGGCATTACATTTTGCTGTAGGGAGGGGACATTTGTTTAACAATGCTGCCACAACGGAAAAGTGCTTCTGCTGCAACTCACACTGTTGTTCACTGGTGCTAATGTGGAGGCGAGGCATTTTCAGAAATTATCGTAAGTATTCTGTTGCGCATGCGCTAAATTCTCTTTGTGCTGAAGTCGAACAAGTTTTTTGAAATGGCCCGTACTGTTTCAGAAGCAGAGGTACCTGTACCATAAGCTAATGCCAATAACCCACGAGCTAATCGATGATGCAAGAGTATTGAATGTGCTAGGGAGAAGAAATCAGCAAATTCGTCTTGAGTCTCATGAAAACTTGCCAAACCGTTCACAATGAATGATTATGGCAATAACCTGGAACATCATAATGATGGTGTTTAAGAACAGAATCTCCTAGAAAATGAAATGAAGCGGTTCAGTTCCGAATGGGTAATGCGATGAACAGAGGATTGTCAAGGAGACGTTATGCTCACAATAGACGATTCTAATTTCCACCTCTTAGACGGCCAGCGTATCTGCTGCAGGCCGCTAGTAGTCTATTGAAACCAATCGCACCTACTTCTTCGCATACGTTAGTGTTCTTGCCATGTTATATATTGAAACATCCTGGTACACTAGCATGTATTCAATGCGGCTGCAGTCACCGTTGGTACACCCATATTATGCAAACATTGTGTCAATGCTGCCCAATTCAGTGTTTCTCTTAATGAAGCTATTCTTCGAGTGTTTGGACTTGAAACATGCAATATATTGGACTCAATCTCTCCACACTAAGGTGGGTTCACACTCAACGGTAACAATGAATTTCTGAACATCCAGTCGAAGGGAGGTTGAAATCCAGGAAGACTTACAGCATTTTCCAGGGACGGATTTTCTTGGCATAATTCTAGGAATTGTGAATCGAAATTGCCCGTCTTTTCTTCTGTACATGGGAGGCGGGTGTTAGGTTGGATCACCACAATTTCGACATTTTGCACCTGCGTATAGTTAAAAAAAATATTTTTATTAGAAAATGTATGCAAGATGAGGAAGTAGAAGTAGTAATACATTAGAAAGGTGCATTGCAGAGTGGAGAATTTATAATGTTTACTGCCTTATCGGCATTAACTAGGCAATAATGTTCATCATCTATTTCCTCAATTTCTCGTTCCGCCTCTGCTCTCTTTTCCATTGGAAACAATTGAGCAAGTTGAGAGCATTTAAGCTTACAAAAAATAATTCCAGTGTGTCAAACTAAAGGAACGCAAAATTCAAAGTGATCTTACATCCACATCCATGTGGTCGTCGGTGTGGTTGTTAGACTGGACCTGTGCTTCCTCTTCGCTCTTAATTTTCACTTGCAGGCCAGTCACTTCTTGAATCTGGACACTGTTTCGACGCAAATGACCGGCCTATATTTCAAACAAAAAGTCACAGAAAGGTGTAGAGTCTTCAGTCAAAAAGGCCTTTTAATGCAAGTGGAGATATTCGGTAATAATCGAAGACCCTGCAAGCATTCACTATCTAATATATACAGACGATCGTGACTGACTGACTGACTGACGCTAATTCTATGTTCTAGAGAAGTTATAAGTCTGAAACTTGGTACACAAGTAGCCATTGGAATGTAGAGTTCAGAAAAATCTGACTTTGGAGGTACGTGCACTGGGGGGACATTTCGGGGGGAATGATCTTGCAAGCCTAGACAAACGCCCCAGACGGAGGATGAGGCCTACCCCATTCTCATGCACACGATCAATCCTCTGTCATTGAAGGAAGTGTGTGTAACTGCTAGGTTATTAAATCAGGAGGGATTCCGACTTCGGGAAGGGGGAGAGGAGTTACATGCCCTTGGGGACAATTTTTGAGGGGGGCTGATTTCGCAAGCGTAGATCTAACGCATGGATGCTTGTGCAGGCGAATTGGTTTCATATTTTTGCGTACCATGGAAACGACAAGGAAGATTTTCCTTTGACTTTCCGATTCAGAGTGGTTAAGTCAAATGCAGGATGCTTACACCAATGCCATTTCCATGCTCACACTTCAATTAACCAGGACAAGAGGTGCTCAAAGTGGTGGCCATTAGCTTCCAGACATTTATTAGTACGGCGAACTGCTGCTTGGGCAACCTTGGCCAAAATGTCCAGTGGGATTGCTGCACATGCATTTTCAATTTATTCTCTAATGGCCGCCGGTGTAGTTGGTTTTCCGCGATATACGACATCTTTCAGGGTCCCCCATAGGTAAAAGTCTGCAGGTGTTAAATCAGGAAAACGTGCGGGAACTCAATTGCACCTCTTCGTCCTTGCCAGTGTCATTGCAAATTCTCATCCAGATAAGTTCGCACGTCTTTGTGGTAGTGTGGCGGCGCGCCGTCTTGTTGAAAGAAAATTTCATCATTTCCATAAAGTTCATGTATGGCAGGTAAGATGGATGTGCGTAGCATGTCTTGGTTCGCTTGACCAGTAACAGTACCTTCAAAGAAAAATGGTCCTATTAAACCTCTTGCTGACACTCCACACCAGACATTGACCCCCGGTAAATTGACTGCTATGTCCACATGCACGTTAGGATTTTCTGGTGCCCAGTAAACACAATTATGTCGGTTCACTGTTCCATTTAGCTTAAATTGTGCTTCATCAGACCACACAATCTTCCTCACAAACTCTTCATCCTCGCTTACCATGTGTTGAAACCACTCACAAAACTGGATTAAAGAAACTGCATAAAGGAAAATCTGGCAGTTCTCGTACAGCAACAAGTACTGCTTCCTAGGCTAAGGTGTTGGAACAGTTCAAACGTTCGCCACAGAAGTCTACCGCACAATGTGCACGTGAGACAGGAGTAAGCAGTACAAGCATACGGCGCATTCTTAAAAGAGATAAGTGGAAAGTCTACATACCAATATTATTACACGCAATTAATGAAGACGATCCGGATCGAAGAATCCAGTTTGGTGAGTGGTTTCAACACATGCATGTGCAGCAATCCCACTGGACATTTTGGACAAGGTTGCCCAAGCAGCAGTTCGCCGTACTAATAAATGTCTGGAAGTTAATGGCCACCACTTTGAGCAACTCTTGTAATTGTATAGGGTTATCACGGTATATGAGGAATGATTTTAAATGCTTATATCTTGAAGATGGCTTAACCTAGAGAAGTGAATGGGGCACCATTTCAGAGTCTTTTTTTCTATATTTTTAACTAGCCAACTTACAAATCTGTCATGAATATTACTGTCACCGAAGAGATGAAAAGAGCAGCGGTACTCTCAGCCCTTAGCGCCGGGAGGACCTCCAAGGAATTGCTGAGTTCCACAAGGTCGCTTTGTCCTTCGTCTACGAGATCAAAGGCAAGGTTAACAATGCTGAGGACCCGGACGACATCTCCACAAAGCGTAAGAAGCATGATCGTCGCTCCGACACCATCAGGACCCCCGAGTTTGTTGCCAGAGTGCAAGAGATGGTGGACAACGTCCCCAGCAAGTCGATGAACTCCTTGTGCAAGGAGTTGGGCGTTTCATATGGTACCATCCACCGAGTTATCCATGAGAATCTACGCTACAACTCCTACGTCCTCAAGAAAGGCCAGTTCATGGACTCAGCCATGCAGGAGAGGTGCTTGACCAAGGCAAAGATGCTGCTTAACAAGGTCAAACACCCCAAGAAAGATATCCTGTTGAAGTTCTCCTCAGATGCGAAGAACTTTGCCCAGGACCAAAAGGTCAACAGGAGGAACAACAGGTGGCTGTGCAAGGACCCTGATGACGTGCCCAGGGTAATGCACACGAAGTTCGCCGCCACTGTCATGGTCCTCGGGGTCGTCTCCAGCGAAGGGGACGTCATGCTCCACCACCTCTTTCAGAAGGGCCTGAGGGTTAACGCAGCTGAGTACATCAAGGTACTGAGGGACGTAGTGAAGCCCTGCATGGACACCATCGCCGACGGGAGGCCTTATGTCTTCCAGCAGGACTCTGCTACTTCCCACAAGGCCAAGGTGACGCAGGAGTGGCTCGAGGAGAACGTGCCCTACCACTGGTCCCCGGACGTTTGGCCTCTCAGCTCCCCCGACATAAATCCCTCGGACTACTTCGTGCTTGGCGTTGTTGAGAGGGAGACTAATAAGCATCCCCGCAACACCCTCGACTCTGTCCGTTTGTCCATCACTGACGTCATGACCAACATGGAGAGGGCCCAAGTTGCCAAGGCCTGTGGCCGGTTCCGCTCAAGGATTGAGGCCGTCATCGCTGCCAATGGCGGGTTAATTGAGTAATTGCAAACTGTGTATCAGGATCTACAAGTGCGGAAAATTTCATTTTAATACATGCATTTTTTCCCCATGTAAATTCATTGCTTTTCTTCATTCGTAAAAATTCCTCATATACCGTGATAACCCTACAGAGGCCAAAGGTAACTTCTATTAATCTCATGATGTCTGAATGGATTTAGAATTAAAATATGTATAGAGCTTTTCTTTTCCTGAAGTGTGTATACATTTTTTTGGCCGACTCTGTAGATATGAAGATAATGAAACAACACCCCAGTCAACGTAGTCTATAAATAGTTATTACGTTAAAACTCTCAAGTGGATTATGTAGTTCATGTGACTGTTATTATTCACTTCTACTTTTTTGGAAATTGATAATTGTCGACCATAGGCAGGATTTGAATACACCAATGGAACACTAAACGACGTACTGAGAATTGTAACTTGGTGATCCTCATGCTACAAGTCACATGGTGTTCCTAGGAATATGTTCTAAGACACCTTTATTTTTAAAGGTGCCAGAGCCAAAGGTGTGGGAATTGAACCCATGAGCAAAAGGGTTTGACCGCATCACCAAGTGTGAGCATCGAAAACGGATGCCTTCAACTGAAATGCATTAGTATTTTCCTTAGATCACAGAAAGCCGAAGGCGCCTCAATAGCGAGTTTGTTTGCCCTTCGGGCAAACAAGCTGATTAACATGGAAAGCTGACACTTTGCATGAATGTGACTACTAAGACTAGGAGTTAAATAAAAATGTTAAGTCTCGATATATCCCTTGGGATAATTTTTTCGAGGGGCGATATTTAAAAAAAATTTTGTCGTGGCGAATTCGACAGAAACGGAAAGGTGAAACCTGGCACATGTATAAGTGACATTTTTGAGTTGAGGGAGTATTCAGCTTTCATGGTGCATTCCCTCCGGGTAAAACTATTGAGTCGGTCAGCTATTCCCAACATGATATTTCATCAGCGAAAAGGGCAACTGGTTAATGAGGATGGAGTTCGGTAAAAATGGTCAATTTTGGTTAAAACGGCTCGGGTACATATTTTGCAAAATGCGTCTTTTCTCAAATTTTCTGATCCAGCAAAACAGAGGGCGCTAGACCGTTTAAACTTGGCCAAGGAGTACCTATGGATAGCTGCGGAAAGAAAAATTATACTTTTATTATATATAGACGATCGTGGGTAGCTGACTGACTGAAATAAGTAGCTATTCGCATGTTGAGTTCAGGAAAAATTTTACTTTGGTGTCATGCCATAGGGGCACATCTTTTCGGGGAACATATTTTCGTATAGTTCTCTTTGCTTCAATCAAAGGGAGACACGTGGAAAGGTAAAACTTGGTCAGAACGTCACTGCTGACGCACTGAGCTCAAATGCTAAATTTCCAAAATATATTGGGAGAGGCATATTTCTTTGGGACGTAACGTTTTCAAATAATTTATCATATTCTAGCGAATTGGGCAGAAATAGAATAGCAGCTGGCGCACGCATAACTGACGTGATGTTGATTTAAGAAAAAATTCAAATTTTGTTGTGCGTCTCCTCACAGCCCAGCTTTTGGGTGGGTAGGTTTTTAGAAATACATTTTTTCCGCCAGCAAATAGGGGAAACGTATAAGTCTGAAACTGGGTGGTATGAAGTTCCCTAAGCCTATATTTCAAAGGGGAAAAAAATTCGTTGAAAACTGTCGGCACTATTTTTCAGTCCCATTTTCTTGATTTTTTTTATGCAACGAAACAGAAACAGAAAATTGTAACTTCCCCTAGACGTACCTGTTTGATGGCTGAGTACAGGAAAAATCCTACTTTTGAAATACAGTATGTTTCCTTAGCGTAGATTATAGGAAGTGTTTCAAAATGTATTCTCCATCCGTATGAAAAAGGGACACAAGAAAAGATTTCAAGTTAGGCACACTCGAATGCATAGAATCAATGATTTTGCTGAAAACAAAATCAAGACATTCGTCCCCATAAGTCATGTATTTCAATGGGGACGTTCTTTATATATGTGTTTGCCATTTTGCAAAGAATAAATGAATTAATTACAATAGAAGGTTATGGAGCGCCGAAGGCCCTCTAGTTTTAAAATATTGTTCTTTGAATGCGTACTGCCAACCACAAGGAAATAAAAAACACGATCGGATTGGAGTTCCTACGTATTATTGGTATTAGCAGTTTCACCTCCTATGTTTTCCCCTGTTTACCCGGTGTCTCAGAAGTTCAATCGATTTTTTAGTATGCTTATTTTAACGCATAAACACTTCGCAAAATTTATTGCATTTTACATCATCTAGTAGCTTTCTCTCCTGTCAGTACAGATAAAATCTCACAATTTTAAGATATGAATAATTTTTCCACTGCAATCGTCCGTTTATTCGAAGATCGAAAACCATTTTCTGATATCAGTCGCCTGCTTAATGTGCCATGGTCAACTGTCTCCGATGCCGTCAAACGACACCCACAGACACCCACAGAAATGCAAACAGGATAAGAAGTAGTAGTTCTAAATCTGCAGGGACCGTTGCTAACCGACGAAGTATCAGAAGCCGAATTCAACGCAATCCATTGGTCCCGAAGAAAACTCGTCAAAGCTCTGAATTATCTGCAATAATTCTGCCCGTCGAATAGTCGAGGAGTATCTGAAGTTGAAGCCGTGGAAAAATCAAGAACGACAATTGCTGACAGAAGCCATGAAAACAGCATTACTCGAGCGATGTTGAAAGCTTAACCCACATTTGTTGTTTGAAAAAAAAACTTTTGGGACACCCTGTACTATCGTGCTTATTTAAATTGTTTGTAGTTCATTTGCGACGGTATTTTGGCTGATTCCTTTGGTAGCCTTATTCGGCCACATAATACGTTTTGGTTTCGTCAAACGCATTATGTAACATTATTGGGCTCAGAGACATGGGACTTTGGTGTAGCGTCTAAATAGTGCCCGACGCCGCACGGCAATGTGATTTTTTATTAACTGGGAGAGAGGCATCAATTCCTGAGCAAGGTGCCTATTTTTGGAGGGTTTTGCGTTTTGCGCATCTCACAAAATTCACGGCGCAAATTTATTTTCCTTAATTATCAATACATCTTATTTTCCACATGCCTGTAGCCCGCCACAAAAAAGTATGCATGCCCATTAGCATGAGTGAACGTGGACATTTTGACATCGTTATAGATCTAGCACCCCTGAATACCTTAATTGTCCAACGATATTTCTTGCAGGGGCGAGCCCTTTTCAAAGTTGAGTATTGCGGAAGAATTGATGTGGGCCTCGAGTTTGATGTAAAAAATGTTGCTACAAGTTTCTGATTCATATTTCTATCAATGTACAGGTTGAGTCAAAAGTAAGTGAACGACTTTGAACAGCCATAACTAGGCAAGGAAGGCATTACTTTTCAAACTTTTTTTGCATAGGGAAGAGCATACGCTAATTAGCAAATATGCATAATGGGAAAAAATTATGTATTTATTTGGTGTAAAAATGACTAATTACTGGCCATGATAATGAACACCATCATGCTCGATAACGTGAGCCATCACCGAAGGACAACTCCGGAAAACATCTCGTGGATGCATTGCTTCAGTTCATTGATCGTGCCCAAATTTTCGGCATAAACCTGTACTTTAAACGAAATCCTACATATAGAAGTCGAATGGAGCCAGGTCCGAAGACCTTGGAGGCCATTCGATAAGCCTGACCCGGCCTATCCACCGGTCTTCATAACAAAACGACGCTTCACTATGAGAATATTTCATTCACAGATATAAGAGAAATTAACCCTTATCCGGACAAGGGAGGTCCATTGCACCGCCAGGCCTCAATTGTTGGATTAACGTTACTCCCCATTCGATTCGGAACAACATAGTCATGACTTAAAGTGGATCTCACCCAGCGTTAATGGTTTGGCTCAATCTTAAAATTTTCCTTCATATTGTAACTTGTTTCTTTTCATGTTCGGTTACGTTCGTCTTTTAGTCTATTGGCAATTGATTACGAAGCTAAGAAAGGGATAATGCAAACATGCATTCAAAAATCAGAGACTAATGATCAGACAGCGAAGCTGTAAGTTTATACATGGATGGGCCTTTGGCGCTCTGCGATCTATGGAAAATACTAATGCATTTCAGTTGAAGGCATCCGTTTTCGATGCTCACCCTGAGTGATGCGGTCAAACTCTTTTGCTCATGGGTTCAATTCCTACTCCTTAGATTCTGGCACCTATAAAAATAAAGGTGTCTAAGAACATATTCCGAGTAACACCATGTGACTTGTAGCATGAGGATCACCAAGTAACAATTCTCAGTGCGTCGTTTAGTGTTGCATTGGTGTATTCAACTCCTGCCTATGGTCGATACACTCTTCATTGCATATCAACTTCCAAGAAAGTAGAAGTGGATAATAGCAGCCACATGAACCACATAAGCCACTTGAGAGTTTTAACATAATAACTCTCTATCGACTACGTTCACCGTATGGGGAGTTCTTTCATTATCTTCATAACTATATTTAGGCACAAGTACTTTTACGGATTACCTTTTTCTGACAACCTCATGCTGAATACAGTTGTCCATGAGAATATACGTCATTCATGAAGGCAGTTCATGGGTTTTTCCCGTTCCTGCTTAGTTGAAGTGTGAGCATAGAAATGGCATTGGTCTAAGCATCCTGCATTGGACATAACCACTCTGAATCTGAATGTCGAACGAAAAACCTTCCTTGCCGTTTCCCTGCAGAAAAAAAAATGAAATTAATTCGCATGCACAACCATACTGGTACGCATTAACCCAAGTCCTTCTACCAAGCCTATGACCTATGAAGGTATAGGGTATGCTAAGGCACCAAGTTTTCCGTTCAGATAGGCTGAAAAGTTCCTCGATGCCACTCAGTCAAGATCGATGTAGGCCTGAGCGTCCGTCCAAAGGTTAGACATGGGCCTGCTGAATCAGTCCCTTCAGGGCACGTACCTCCAATGTCGAACTGTTATCTGTAATTTGCAAGCCAGCAGCTGTTTGTGTTCCATCATGCTACCTTTGATGAAGAGAATGCGTAAGAATGGTATTGGCCTAAGCGTCCATCCATGGGTTAGGCCTAGGCCTGCGAAATCAACCGCCCTCGAAAATTGTCCCCAGGACATGGAACCACACCACCCATTCCGAAGTTGGAAATCCTCTTAGTGAACAACCTAGCAGTTACACACTTCCTTCAATGACAGAGGAAGGAACATGTCATTGAGAATGACGTAGGCCTAAACCTCCGTTTGGGGGGCTGGGCCTAGGCTTGCAAAATCAGTGCCCCCGAAATGTCCCCCATGGCATGTACCTCCAAAGTCTGATTTTTTCTGAACTCTACATCCCAATAGCTACTTGTGTACCAAGTTTCAGATTTCTAACTTCTCTAGAACATGGTTAGAATTAGCGTCAGTCAGTCACGATCGTCTATATATATTAGATACCTCATAAATAAATGTTTGCAATAATTGCATGATGCGACTTTCTTGAAAGTCCAGCTTTTATTCTTTGTCTGGGATCACATCGACTTATTTTATTTATAACATCAGGGGTAAAGTTGTTCCAATCATATGAGGTGAACACTGCATCATGGGCATGTATGAAGGCCGTACCAAAAGTATCGAAACCATGGCTATAATTTTCTTAATGTGTTTGCCACGAAAATTGAATCCAGTTGTTTTTTCAAACGTAACAAAAACGCAATGCACACTCAGAAGCACAAGTTGCTCTCTCTAATGATTGACAAAATACAGTCAGTGAGAGGTATACATGCACCAGAAATTACAAACGAGAAAGCACAGTCATCTTGTCGATCATAATGAATGGCCTTAATGGCTTCATAATGATCTTCAGAGAGCACGCGTGGTACCGAATGAGCAGACAGCTTGCTCAATCCGAGTTGATCCTTCAAAATGCGTTGCATTGTTCCATGGTTGAGTTGGCACATCACCATGAGTCCTTGAATCGAACAGCGTGCATCTCCTTTAATGCAATTTAGTACAGACTGAATCGTTTGCGCAGTCATGCTTTCCAGTGGTCGTCCTGGACGGCTTTCATCTGAAATTGTTTGACACCCATTCTTGAAGTGCTTGCACTTAAGACGCGGCTCCTGCTGAATACTTTTTTCTCCCAGCATGGCAGAATCCCAAACAGCATGTTTATGTTGATTTTACGTAAAATGAATGTAAATTTTTGGTCCATTTTATATCATTTTTACGCAAACCATTGTCAAGAAAATGTTAACATGTTTGCAGAAATGTCACCTCTGTGATATGTAAACGGTCATATAAAATTAACGTATATTTTACGTAAAATTGACATTCCTGTTTGCATTCCAAACAGCATGTTTACATTCATTTTACGTAAGATTAGTGTTAATTTTCCCCTAACATTAATGCGTATTTAGCGAGCGAATTCGTACCTTTGAAGGGTATTAAACCACTATTTCTCACATTCTTTTCCATACTCTGGAACTCAAGGTTACTTGGATGAATACACAAGTACTCATCATCACCAGCACTCAAGAGTACCAAGATGACTTACTAGTTCCTCCTCCCTTACCAGGACCTCTAGAGGAGGAATAAATGTTTAGAGGAGCTCTCTTCCATTAAGGAGAGCGAAGTTTAGTACTTTTAGAGCTGGGATTCCAATCTTCCCTTCCCAAGATTCAAGATTCAAGATGCAAGATAGTGACATTAAGAGGCGATCCCACTCATTTCGACATCATGTGTCGAGGTCGAGCGCTCCCTAAATTTAGGGTAGGCCTAATCCTCTTGAAGCTAAATTCTTTTGTAATTTTGTAATTTTCTTTTTTTTGCGTATCCTAGTTGCTTACTGTCTAGTATCTCACGTCAACATCGCCCCCAACCTTTCTGCCTCTCCATGAAACCATCCAGTTTCTTCTTAAAGATAGTCACGGGAGGGTAGCCACTACTTCGTCATCTAACGCCTTCCACGAGTTTACTACTCTGCATGTAACGAATTCCGTCTCGACCTGAGCCGCACTTGCGGTTTACGCAACTTATGTTGGTTACCTCTCGTTCTCTTGCTGCCATCAAACTGGAAAAAACTACCACACTCAGCATTATCTATTCCTTTCATTATCTTGAAAGCCTGCATGAGATCGCCCCTCCTTAACCTTCGTTCGAGAGAGTACAGTCCGAAAACTTCTAAACGCTGCTCGTAGGAAGGTCCCCTGACCTTAACCCTTTGTGCTCATATTTATTTTCCACTATTTGTCCCCTCAGTTCAAATTTAATTTTAATGAAAAATGATAAAAACATTTCAACAAAAATGATTTATTCAGACTTTTTCAACAAAGAGAAATTATTAATTCAGACTTTTCTATTTAAAAATCACATTGGACTTAAAATTACTCATATTTTTGAAGTGTATCATATTTCTTGAAGCAGTCGCCAGGATGAGGCCCTGGATTTCTGGTACAAGTTTCATGGAAAAATATTGTCTCTTTCCTTACTACCCTCACTTTTTGATTGCTACAGATTGCACAATCTTTCGTGTTTTTCTTTTCATTGCTGGAAATAAAATGTGGCTTCTGATTGAGGCGTTCTTCCTTGCCGAATGTTGAAGGACGTCCTCGTTGTCTAGAATGTGTGTTCCTCACGTCGCTGAAAAGCTGCAAAATTAGAGACTTTCCAAAAGTGAGATGCTTGATTGGATTCATTCCATCTATTTGGCGCTGCAGATTGTACAAAATGAAGCTGTTGACGATGCTGATCTCCAGCACCCAAAAAAAAACATTTTACGCCACCACTTCCGAGATTTTCGATGGAAATGATAGCTCGCACAATAGTGACCAGCTCGATCTACGGCCCCTATATTTTTTGTGTAATCGATAATAGCCAAAGGTTTCTGAAATACTTCTTGTTCAGCTTTTGTTACTTTCCTTGTTACACTTTCAGTACTAGCATTGCGATAGGGCGCCAAAACAAAGACATTCCGCTTGTCTTTCCACGCTAATACCAGAACCTTATAATCTTTTCGCACACAACGTCTTGTGTCTTCAGTTTCAGCTTCTTCTTATGTTTAATTTCAGCAGGCAAACCTTTTATACTGGCCATTATTGTCCCAGTTATATGAATGCCAATTTCGAGCAATTCCAGTGCCAAATCACATCCGGTATAGAATCGATCGATCATATACAACGTCACTGTAATTATCACCTTCAGGTTCATCACTATCATCACGGTCACTATCATCCATCATATTCCATTCCAAGTTATCGATTTCATCATAATTTATGGAGCCGTCACTTTCAGAATCTTCCAAAACTTCGATAATGTCCTTTTCTCGCAACCTCTACCTTGACGTAGAAGCCATATGAAAATTTAAAATTTACTTTTTATTCAAAAAAAATTATTAGTTTTTAGAAGGCGATGAACGGCTTTGTCCATAAATGCCGGTCGGTAGATGGATAATTACAACCGGTAGATGTCATGCGAAGTAAGATATCGTTATAAATGGCAGGAAAAAGCAATTTTGGGTGAGTCCGAACCAAGGTTGGTGGGCAAAAATGAGATGTTTGTGATGTCGGGTGACACCCGACATATGACCAGAACGAATCATTTTTAATGTCGGGTCCTGGCCGACTCATGACCGCAAAAGGTTAATCATTCTTGTGGCCCTCTTCTGCGCTCTCTCGAGCGCCAACAAATCGCCCTTATTTGTAGGCCTCCAAAACTGGATGCAATATTCCAACTCCAATATCAGCGCCGCATACAAAGGAAGAATAACGCGCCGAGTCCTACTTGTAACCGAACGACGGATGTAGCCTAAATCCTGTTGCATTTGGCCACAGTCGCTTGCGCGTGCAAGAAAAACTTGAGGTCATCGTCAATAAAAACTACTAAATCTCTCTTTCCATTTACATCACCCAATTTAACATCACCAAACGTGTCGAGAGCCCTACCGTTGTTTCGACCGACGTGGAGAACTTTACACTTTCTTGCTCCACTCATCCAAAAGACTTAAATCTCGCTCGGCTCTTGCCTTATGCGCCTCCCCCATTATGGTAAAACCTGTCTTGGCGTCGGAAAATTTACTCATCTTACTATCTATGCCGAGATCTAAATCGTTTATGTAGATCAAAAGCAGAAGCGGTCCAAGGACCGAGCCTTGAGGGACGCCGCTTGGGACTTCGACCTGCTTCGACGCTTCCCCATTTATCATCACCCGTTGCTCTCTTCCAGGAATGTATGGCGGCGCCCTTGTGGCAGCACGCTTTCCTTTCCTTTCCTCGCTTTCCTTGCTTCCTCTTTCTCTATCTTCTCACTCCTGCTGTGATGTTTCCTATTGTGCGCGAGAGTGCTCCTTCTACATATCAGCAGGTATCCAAACAAGAACTTCTCGCCCTAAAGTTCAAGACCTCACAGAATATTCACCCAGACATTGCTGCCATCCTGAATGATCTTGGCATAGGCCCACGCAGGCCGAACTCCAAGGCAAAGATAGACAGCCCAAGATCAAAGCAGCGCAAGAACAAGAACAAGAAGTAACCTAGGCCTAGAGGTAAACGAGGAGGTTTCTGGAACAAACTGAAGCAGAGCTCTCCCGAGAGTCTCAAAAGACCTGCAATGCTGTCAGCCAATGTACAAAGCCTTCCACCAAAAATAGGCCTACTAGCAGACATTCTGCGAAGAAGTCAGTTCAATAGCATTTCTGCCTTTGCCACACAAGAAACATGGCTGACACCACTGGTTGAGGACGACATTGTCAACATAAAAGGCTACAAAATTTTTCGAGCGGACAGGAAACACTCAAGCAAAAAGAAGGGAGGAGGAGCCGCACTTTACATCAACTCAGCATGGTGTGACAACCCACAAATGATCTTAAGTGAATCAAGCAACATTCTCGACTGTGTAGTAGTGAAATGCAATCAATACGTATTATCATCTGTATATGTGAACATAGGCCCACCTGCACATCTAACTTCAGCATCAGACTGGGTGCACGACCACATCGTACTTCCATACGGAGACAACAGCGAAGTCTTCATTGCTGGTGACCTGAACAGGGCACCACTCGAAAAGCTGCTAATACCAGCTGGTTTCAGGAATCTGGTAAGGTTTCCCACACGCATGGACAGTTGCCTGGATCAAGTCTGGACCAATGCAAGTGGTTGTCACTTCATCTCCAAGAAACTAGCAAGCATAGCTGATCACAGCACCATCCTCATCTGCCCAAAACCTCTACTACAGAAAGACCATGGCCAAAAGCATACCAGAAACAAGCCTACCCGCAAGAAGAAACTCCTAGATAGTGACCGCCTGAACTTTGAACTTCAATGCACTGACTGGAGTGTCCTCCTTGACACTGAAGACCTCGATCAGCNGCTCGTCTCCAGTCCTTAGGTACTTCCCCGCGCGAGAAGCTGCTATCGAATATAATTCTTAGAGGAACCGATATTTCTCTCGCGGTTTCCTTAATGATTCGCAGGTATCCCATCTGAGCTGGTCGCCTTGCCCACCTTCAACTTCCTTATCACATTCACGATCGTCTCCTCGGTTATGGAAATATCCTCGATGCACGCCGTAGTCACCTCCTCCAATGTTGGTGCCGAGTCTGATTCCACAGTGAAAACGGAAGCGAAAAACTCGTAAAGAGTACTGGCCATATCCTTATTACTAGTTATGAACTCCCTCTTCTTGTTCATTAACAGCCGATCGGGCCGATCGGCTGTTGACACCTCCCACTAGCATACCGATAAAACGCCTTAGGGTTCTTCTTAGCATCGCAAGCCAGCCGTTCCTCGACCTCCCGTCTCGCAGACCTAAGTTCCCGCTTCAACGTCCGCGTGATCATCCTATATTCCTCATAGTCAATGCTATATATTGTCCGTTTGTGCGCATCCCACTTCCGCCTTTCATCCCTGATGAGAACTTTGATTTTACCCGTAAACCAGACTGATTGCCTGCCCGATTTCATGAATTTCTTGGGGATGCAATCTTCCATAAAGCCCTGCAATAACATCTTGAGCGCCCCCACTGCTCCTCTACCGTCAGCCCCCAGAGCCGCGCCTCCCAGTCGATGCCTGAAACGCATTCACGTAGTTTCTCAAAATTAGCCTTCTTATAGTTGTACGAAACCTTCCTCGGTTGGCGTTACTCTTCGTCCGCTTGATATTCCACGCGATCGCGCTGTGGTCCGAATCTCCCAAGTGATCCTGCACTTTATCGTCTAATGCCAGATCGTCGTTCGTCGCAAAAACTAA